TTTTCGACCGAATTACTCTCAGATTCTGTGGAACTATTTTTTCGATGAGGACTATCTTTTTCGTGCAGAGACTGCACTTTCGCCGCTCGTGTTGTTTTGTCGTTTATCGCACAACTCATTTCGTCCGCCTCAGGGAATCGTTTGCGATTTTCAATCCTTCTGTTATGCTTTGCGACTAAACAAAATAGTAATAAATTGGTATTACACAAAAAAGTCAATGGAATGAATTGAACGACGTAAGTAACCAAGTGAAGGTGGCGTAATAGTTGGATTCGTAAAACCGCGTCCACGAATTATTCATTTCCAGTGTTCCGTTGACTGTCTTTAATTCGGTCTTCTGAAGTGCAAAGTAGGGAGTGCAAAAAACAACCGCAATGGCAATAATTACGTAGATGAACCGTTTGGTATTTGGAACTGTGAAGTAACGCTTTGCCACGTGCCAATGCTTCATGCTCACATATCGTTCGACTGCCAGCAGTACTGTTAACCAGGCGCTGATAGCCTCCGTCATATTTGTGATTGGCATGTCCACATAGATGTTATAGAGATATATGTAGATTGGCAGATTTGTTGAACTATGAGTTATTGTTTCCTGGCTGTGAATGGATAAAAAGTAATGTATATGTAATATTATTATATATATATTGTACATACAAAATTATATATCCATATAGTAGATGTGCAGAGATGCCAATCGACGCATGAAATCCAATTATTCGCGAACACTGAGAAGGCTTTTAAGTTTTGCAAATGAAACCAATTCACCCTGAAAATCTATAGACACTGTGCTATTTTGTAACGCTTCCTAGGACTTCAAGCCGGTATGCATCTAACGTATCTCTAGCCTGTGGACTAGTGTCTGAAAGCAGTACTATTCGATCGCATTTCAGCGACCCTTAGGTTGAGTGGTTTAACTAGTACACCGTCCATCCAACGTCTAGCCTCCAGCCGGACTAATTCCACGGGGTACACTGCTGATGAGTAGTTTTCAAAAACATCCAGAAGACGTTAAGTACATCAACATTTACAGCAGTACTGCCTGATTGCTCCAAGGTGCGTGCCTGCTATTCGCTGTGGTCATTAGGCAAATAATCAACGGCATGTCCGCACAGATGGCTAACGACGAAGGTAAGAACAACTTCCAAAATATTGTAAACAACAGGATACGATGCATCTGGCTTCAAATTCACAGAGCGTCGATTTTAAACCCTAAGTTTAACTTGTCGTATTTACATCAGTTTTGTTTATGCTGGTTAACAGACACTGGTTCTGTGCCCCTAACATATCTAAGGGAATGCGGATTGTGAGCGGGTCCGTCTGGTTCACAACAACTATTTTCAATCTTCATGTGGCCTGCTTTTGGAAACATTTGTCAGCTTGTATCCTGCCGAAATAAAGTTATTAACTTAAGCGCACTTTAGGCTAAAGCAGTTGAGTGGATCTACCTGCTCCTAGAGCAATACTGGATGGTGTCGAAGTAGGTTTTGTTTTTCTGAGTAAGTGCTCGTAGAAAAACTCTGGAATCGCTTGAAATCCAACCTAACCAAGTTGGTGGGTCATTGTCCTGTACGACGACGGAGCACAGTGGCATTCTCTCTATCACCCGTGCCCTCATTAACTCCAAATTTATGGTTTATCGTCCTCATGTTCTAACTGAAGGGAAGCGACTAGTACATACTCGCCTCATTGCATAATTATTTGCTATAGGTGTTTGGTCAGTAGCACAGTGACCTGATTCAGCTTGAATTTGCACAAAGTGCGCATGCCTGGGTTCTGGGATAGCGAAAAATATCTTGCCGTACAATCGTTTTTTCGTCTATTTTTTATTACCACTTTTGTAGCCTGACTACCCGGCGCCATTATCACTCAGAATAATCAACAGTAACAGCCTGAGGGGTAACGAGGCCTCTCTTCATTTTGTTGGATCAGAATAATAATAGTTGGAGAGTTTCCAACTTAGTGCACATAAGACTGTGAACTTTGGGGACGTTTAGAATTACCGGCAATCGTAATGATGGAACCGCTTTTCGAGCGTCTCGGGACCTGAGGAATGTTCTGCCGGGTAAAAAACGGACAAAATCTTCATGAGGTGATCTATAAAATGATGTGATCAAAAATGAGAGAAATAGCGCATCAGTTAATCAGTCAGTGTATCGAGCAGTGTGTTCAGGTTATCGAACCTCATTTTTTACGTGACCAGATCCGCGCGAAGTTAGATAATGTGTCCGGGGTAAAACAAGTGAAAATTGTGCTAACTTCTTAATCGTGCAAATGTGACATCACAAAATATCGTGGGAGACCATATTTTTCATGCAGTATGAAATTGCTGTTCAACCAACATCTTAGTTTCTCTCATCATATCTGGTTTAAGACGATATGATTCAAATTTAAGGTGTTAAGACTGAATGCCTGCAAACTAGGGACGGGCAGCAGAAGTAAGCGAAGCTTGGTCCACAAAATTTCATACGCGCAGCGGTGTACGCTCTATCGGACATTCCGTTCTGCTTCATTTATTCTGGTGACTGACAAGACTGTTCTACCAACAGTGGTAATGTGCTTAGCACACATTATTCCTCAAAATATTGGCTCACGGCACTGGACCAGAAGACGAACGCTATATTTCAGGTTTTTCCAGGAAAACAAACATATGCCTGATCAATCTGTTTACAGAACAAGAAACAACAGGAGGCAACTAGGCGGAAGAAACTCCCGAGCTTGAGTTCCTCAAATAACCGTTTTACTGAACTTTTGTAGTCGGCATGAGAAGAGAACGGATTGCTTCGGAGCATCAGCTCGGGTGTGCAGCAAGATAGGAAGACATAATGAGTCAGAAAGATATATAGAAGGTGATAGACAGATATATAAGTAGATAGGAAGCAAATAAATAGACAGATAGACATATAGATAAGCAGAGAGACAATAGATGAGTTTGTAAATAAAGTGATAATCGCTTAAATATCCCCATGGTTTGAACAAGAACATAGTCACAAGCATTAAAGTTTGTGGGATCTCGCCATCAGGAGAGTACATATTTAATGGTTAAAATAGAAGAAAAAATGAAATACACAGTGAAGATTGTTTAGTGAACGGAAGAAATGAGGAGAAGCGTGAAGAGATGAACGATTAGTTGTTTGCGCCCCTTTTTGCATCTAATTGAAGGCTGTGAGGTTTATAACCAAGAATATATCCGATCGCCCTATCTAACCTCCCATCACGAACATTAGAAGAAAGCCAATAGCCTTGACTTCATAGTTGGCGGACATTGTCAATGGCCGCTTGTTTCAGTCTGTACAACGCACGTTTCCGGCTGTAACTTTGCGGTCTTGGTTCACAACCAACTCCTTGCCCAACTTTCACTAAAATACAAGATGCCAGTCCTCACCCAGAATATGATTGTGTATTCTTTATCCTGCTGTTGTTCAGAGGAATACGTTGGGCTACTTCCTAAAAGAACATATGAGCACCTGCCTAACCGGAGCATCATTAGATTCAACAACTCAGCCAAAAACTCAACTGACACCGGGCACTTAGTTGTTCCATATCATTTACCATGTGTCCAACAGAACTTTGCTTAACTACAGCCGAGGCAGTCGCCATACGTATGCGAAACCCCGTAGTATGCTGTCGAAAACGGTTTGTACCAAAACTGAGTCTGCAAGTGACATGGATCAAGTGGCCAAGTTATTCAATGACCCTCTAGACTGTCTTACTGCAGACAACCAATAGTTCGTGCCTCCAAGTTTTTTTATTCATTTTTTTCGTTTCCTCACAAATCTTCGCTGCGTGTTTCGTTTTCCGCTCCTATTTTAACCACTAGATATGTACTGATCTGATGACGAGATACCGAAAACAGTAATCTTCGTCACTGTGTTCTCGTTCGAACTGATAATCGCATTTGTAAGACTACGTCGATATACAAACTATCTTCTCCAATATGAAAACACTTCCATTTTAGGTTCATAAAATCATCACAAATGAGCATTCAATGGAACATCATGGGTATCCAATCATTTTGGGCACTGATGTACAAAGTGTAAAGTGTGTTTTTAAGTGGTCTGGAAGGCAAAGAGTGGCAATCATACAGAAGGAACTCGTGGAGAGTGAAACTGCCTTCAGTCCAGTTTACTTAGCCACGCTGTGGTCAGACATTTACTTATCTGTTCTGTAGCACGACACTTGGTAAGGCAAGACCTACTGCATACTGGACACTAAAGGCTTTCACAGCCCAGTGACTTACAGAGAAGGGACGGACAACCGATTGACTGCGTAGGTCAGATTGCGCTTATGTTACACAAAACGAGTACAAATTACATATCTTATTGTTCCTAACTGTTTGATAGTCGTTTATACATTAGTATTCTACGGACTCTTGTAATGAAACCATAGAAACGCGTCTGCGCTATGACCACGAAACTTCTGTCAGTGGAGGGGCATATTTTTCTGCGCTCTTCCAATTGGATGGTAAGGTAAACACATGGGTCGAATTTCTCAATAGAACTAGGGTAAAGCCTTGAGATTCCAAATCATAGAGTCATACCTGATGAGTAATATTCGTGGGATAGGACGGGTATCGCAAATCAGGAAAGATACGACTGTGCGTTGATTAATTGCCTCTGAAGTAAAATTTAGTTTGCCTATTCTATTTTGCGATTATTTTGGACAGGGATCTTTCCGTGTAAAGCAAAATCGTCGTTTTCGGGAAGAGTTATCTCTTCGTTTGCACCGAAAATGCATGGTCACGCAAACGAGACTATGGATCTAGGTAGATGTTATTAGTTTCAGAGATATACTTATGAAGAACAATATTTGCTGGTCGGAACCGTTATCCAACGTGGTGTTATTAACCAAAACCAGACGCCTTACAGTTCGTAAATTAGACGACTGTGAACAACGGCGTGTGCTTCAACCACTTGTCTGCACTTTCGGCCATAAAATCTAGGCGCTTATTTCCAAAATCGCTTAATCCTCTTCTTTCTCTTGTTCATGCACGCACACGGAATCAAAGATTATAGGACCAGAGTTGACTGGCGTAAATGAAGTGAAAAGTAGCAAAACTGTTCGAGCACAAATCAGACCCAGTTGTGTCTGGCGACAACAAATTGACAGCCATTGCTTCACCGTAAAGTTGAAATCTGAGAAGAGCAGAAGGTGAGGTGACAAGGAACGCCCAAAAATCCAGGAAACATGTCACGCTATTGTCCAAGCAAAAAAGATTTATCAAATGAGAAGGGAAACTTATCCCAATCTCTTTGAGAACTGAGTGAATCTTTTTTTTCAAATTTGATAAACGTGATAGTATGGTGGCCACATTTAGGCATCTGTCTAGCAAACTATTTGAATAGCACTGTAGAAGGGGAGTCACAGTAAAAAATAATTTTGATCAACTACGTTTTTCGATCGGTCTAACAACGTTTTATTAATCCACACCTATTCCTGGCTGTACAAATTTCTGCATAGGAATTCTGGCCTCCGTTAGTTATCAGTGTTCTTGCGATATCTTTATAGTAACTACGTATTTTGAGACATACTGTCCGAAATTAGCGTTTGTAGACGCGACCCCATTTCTGTATTTTAAATATAACCGGTCTGAGTCACTCACAATATCAACCCTTGGGGTATCCGAACTCCAAGTGTGATGGCGTCAGCCAAGGATAAGAACTTCATCATGATGTAGGCTGGAGCAGAAAAAGCCGGTTGACTAAAAACGCAGATGTTGAGCACGTTCAAAATCATTCCAAAAGTGCATAGTGGAGTTTGTACAAATAGATAGACCACTGCAAATGCGTAGTCATATGGGAATTGATCCGATACCGTCGACAGATTTGTGGTGTTCAGACTGGCAAGGTCATCCATGGTTGCATGCCTGAATTTTAAAAATAAATAGAAAGGCGGAAAGTCAGTTTTACATTGTGTTTCTTTCTGAAATATGTATGCTAGGCCACACTGCTAACAGTTTAATGTCAAAAGCCTGCCTTCCGATGTTTGATATTCCCGAAACTATGTATATATATATATATATATAGGGCAAGTTAGATAGAGATANCATTAATGTAACAACGCGTGGCACATAACCGGATGTTTGAGATGGATTTCCTCTAGGGATTTATAAAATGTGACTGCTGACGAGGTTAAATAAGTCTGATCTTCCACTTCACAAACTGAACTAGACTGTTGTATATTGCTGGTAGTAAATTAACAGTAAGGGATTACTAATCCACAACGTTCTAAAGAAGTCAAAAGTTTGGTAACAATCGGTAGATTTATTGCTCAGCAACGTTTCGCTTTTGACACAAAAGTTTCGTCAAGGCAAGTGACTAGGTTATGAAGTTGGCCGAGATTTAAGGCGAAAAAAGAACCAATCAGCTTAGTCAAGCTAAACCTCTGTTGGATGTCGGCCGAGGGACTTTCGTGTGTTATTGTGGCTGACCAAGTGTTGGGCCGATAGGGAACCTACATGTGTTTAGGTACAGCTTAGGGTCTAGTTCTTCTGGTTCGGTCCACTTGATGATCCCCCTTGAACATCGTTTGCACTTTCTGTCTGTCTGTGTGAATACGCTAGTGTTAGTTTGCTCGTCTTACTTGAGGAGGCTTAGCCCAAGAACCGACAACAAATGCGATGAAGAAAAAACTGGTTGAACTCCAACTTTAAAGCCATGCTGACAGACATAAGTTATACCGCACTCACTGTTAAAAAGGCCTGAGTGAATCTAAATTGCGTAGCTTCAGTGACAAGGTTCGGCGACTTCACGGGCCACTGTGAGCCTAATATACCACGGGCGCACATGCCTCGGCTGGAAGATGGAATAACTGAATGCTTGAAAATTTGACAGAGAATACAAGCTGCAACGGTCAGTCATTGTGGGCCAACCAATCATGGTAACAACTGCATCGGTGTTCCGAGTAAACATTCCTTATGTCAAGCACGTGTTGTGTGTCTATAGTTTACTATATCAATGTCGCCCGCCCCTTCGTAGACTCTGAAAGGATCGCTTCATATGCAAACTGCGATCTGGTTCAATCGACGTCGGAGGTTTCATCAAGATCCTGTTGGTGACGCCGTCTTAATCAAACCGATCTGGAGGACACAATTCTTCAAATCACTGAAAAGTGTTTCACCAGGATGATATCAATCACGCTTGGTGGCGCCCTACTGCAAAAGTTGTATTTTATGTACGTCGAAGTTCAATAAAACAGATGAAAATTTGCAACATCTAAATGGACAGTGTTTTGTACTATCGAATGTATCAATTCGGAAATATTTTGCCCCGAAGGTGAGTAGAAGAGCTATCTACTGACAGAGTTGCCTCATGTGTTGTGCTAAAATCAAGAGTAAATAGATGTAATCTTATTCAATCGGTGCGCTGAACTACATTCTCATGTTGCAGACTGGGTAGCACGCACGTCAGTCGGGGAGAGCTGACCGCTCAGCAGCTCCAGTGATGTTCAAACACCCGTATAGCTGCTGAATTACTACACATGTGGTTCCATCTTAAACTTCCTTTCGAAATTCACTGACTCCACGCTTTTGATTGGAACGTTTCCCTCACTTTATCAAATGTCCTCGTGTACACCATTCCATATCTACAGCTCGCAACTACTTTTTGTTTGTGACTTCAAAAAAAAAAAAGTTCATACCGACACAGTGATAATGCTCATCCCTCCGGCAAGCTGACTATTCTGAAACAATTTATTATAGCCTGCATTTGTGGGAATCTACTCCATGCTCCGGATCAGGTCATATTCTTCCATTTGATAAATTTTGTACACTAAGTCCTTCCCAATAAAGTTTATCGGAACTAACAGAAGATATAATCTGCCATCCTTAAATCCCATAGAATGTTAGTCAGGCGTGAGCAGCTCACCGTATAAATAACACGAATTGAACTGGTGAAGGTGGCAATAAGACGTTTGAAGGTAGCGATTTCACGATCGAAATACACACACGTTTAGAGCGAAGCACTAGCTTGTGGTGCATTTTTGTCCTGGCGGCCCTCCAAATTGTCAGTCTTGCTCTGATAACCCTGAGAAGTTACTTTCCGGCGACAGTGGTTGGAGTTCCCTGGTCACCACGTCACTAGCCTATTGTCTCGTACCCGAAGAACATCTGCCGGTGCTATATCCTTAAAAATTTATTTTCGGAAATCAGCTCAACCATGGTTAATGACTTGGTGTGGCTAAATTCTGGTTTCTAACAAAAATAGGTGTGGGAGGAATCACGATGTTGCTATTATGTACGGACTTCTGAAATAAGAGTGATTTTGTGCTCTACACCTTCTGTGACCTTTTTAGAATATAATCTTCGGTTGGTTTGTGCTATATTAACCTGGAGTTGTTAATGGTCTATAAAAAGATCCTCACAATATGGTCTTCAGAACAGGCCAGCAGTTATTCATGAGGTTACTACAACTGGTTCGATTCCACCGAGACCAGTCAATCTTTCTCCTTAGCTGTCAATTCTCTACTGAGTTGACCGTTTGGGCCTAGTGAATGACTTTCAGTTTCTTTTCTGAAGGAATTTCATATGAACAAGGATTAGTGCTGACCGTATACCGGAACTCTTCCTGGCCTGTGCAGGCACATAAATATGCAGTTCTATTTGTCATTGATACATGTCAGATTTGTAAACAAACCCCTATTTCGAGCGAAAACATGCTGGTTTGTTTACTTGTCCAGTTTGGAGATCACCTCCCACAACAGCATCCTCATCCTGATGCGCATTACAGAAGACCGGTTATCACCCTGATTTTATGGTTTTTGGGGGGGGGGGGGGGGCGAAACGATGAACAATTCGCTTGAGTAACTTTGTTGATTACCTCTCGATTTGCTGGCACATTAGCATATAAACAACTGATAACACTTTTAGCTATCAAAATCACAAGTGACAGCCTAACGTATAGCAGCCATTATTGAGGATAATGGCCCCACCGATGACAGCGTAATGCACTCACAAAAACGCGTGCGGACGCGCGCAGATTATAAAGTTGGTAAATATTTCAGTGCGTTCGTATACAAGACAGCCAGTGTGGTTTCAAAAAAAATACATAAAAGGCATATTACGTGGCTACGAGCGTAAATTCTTAATTGTGAGGACATTGCATCCTCCTGTCAGTAGCTAAAAACGTCATTCTACGCCGATTTGGTACATATGTTCTGCATCGCTAGAGTTGTATTTCCGTGCAGCAAGTACATTCTTTTCAATAACCTCTACATCACTACAGATTATGCAAAAACTAAGTGTGGCTTGTATTATCAATTCATCAGAGTTCAGCTCTTCCTCTGTATGTACTTTTTCACTACAATATCACCATAAGTTCCACTTGTTGATAGTGTAGATATGCAAAGCATTTATGGCGTATGGATTGATAAGCAGAATTTATCCAGGCCGTTCAAATGGTGTACGAAACAATGAAGTTTGCTGCGTTTTCCGACTGAGGCTTGTCGTACCAGCCAAGTACGATTCTTATTTTACAAAAAGTTGACTTCCATTAGCGAAAGAATTCCTCCAGAAGCCGCACTCAACATTGTCTTCAACAGAACATTTGATGCAGTCGAGAGGACCAGGTGCCAGTAGAACAGTGAAAACAGACAAATTAGGATGCGTGCAATATGACACGTTGAACCTACTCATCACACTCAACTTAAAGCAAAAGCCAGGCGCACTCGCAAAAAAACCCTTCTGTCTATCCAAATATCTTAATCACGCTTCAAAGTTGACTTCATGATCACTCTACCGGAGGGTAAAACACTCAAACTGCACTGTGGCAGCGCCACATCGAGAAGCGGACGTTGTTTTAGACAACACGGATCCTAGTAGATGGATTCCATCAGAAAACAGTGAACAGATAGGTCAGGTGATCTAACGCGAAAATATCGTCCTCTCCCGTGAGTCTAAAACGTGTTATAGTCAAGCGGGCAATGGAGGAAATTACAGCTCGATGCTGTGGCGCGCCTATGCTCAACCATAGAGATGACACCTTTTGCTTATGAGAGTGTAGTCACATTGCGGGTGAATACATGGCGTCTCCTTTCTTAACTCAGTATCCACATTAAACGGTGCCAAATCGATAGCGCAAACAACAAAACAACGGAGGTTGAGGTTGTCCAAGTTTATCACATGAACACTTGCTACTACCACCAAGATCTACACCCGAGGCGGCTCCACTCAGGCTCACTCCCGAAGCTTCCTGCTCACTACGGCGACCCTCCTACTAGTCACCACAATTCCGTGCCTGAGTCGTGGGACTTGCCCTCAAAATACACATTACTGATCCAGCTTGCAGTTACGGTCCGGTATAAGTTCGACGCTCCAGTGCCATCCATTTTCAGGGCTGGTTGATTCGGCAGGTGAGTTGTTACACACTCCTTAGCGGGTTCCGACTTCCACTGTCCTACAAAACAACCCTCAGATGATAAATGTGAGCAGCTGTCGACTTCCGGTTCGGTGCCGGACAACCCACCTGTGAAGTCAGGTCGCGATAAAATCTCTTCTGACCTCAACTGCGGTAACTTTGTCAAAATTTCAGGTATCATCCTATTTGTACAACATGTTGCACGCATTCTTGGTCAGGCTATCCTAATACATAGCTAACGTCGCCTTCTTTCCAGGGAATCTCGTAGATCAGATCTGTCCCATCTTTCTGACTGCACATGACCCTCGGAGATACGACGAGTGTTTTCGACCAGTTTTATCCAAACTGAATTCGGATCTAAAGTAAATCTTCCGGGGCGTTCGCATAGTTATTTTTTATATCGATTTACCTTGAGGTATTTAGGCTATTAAGCAAAGGAGCAAAATTTCATGGGTTGGCTTCGCCCTCAACTGTCATATTCTGTTTGTGGTGTAAGAAATTTGTTTGTCCTGAT